CCCCAAAACCCCAAAACCCCAAAACCCCAAAACCCCACTTTTTTGCATTTTTTACAGTGAAGGAATTAAAGAATTAAAAATATAAATTAAAATAATATTAGCTTTACAAATATATGTGACAATTTATGTTGGAATGAAATGATTTAAAACTTCATACTCTTTAGGTAATGTGATTTTCACTCTAAAGGGTGCTACTTTGTTTATTTCTTATTCCAATACTTTCGTCTATTATAAGAGTCTTTTTTTACTTTTATTCGATTAATTCAAGGCTACAATACTAGCTTTCTTGAGGATTCTTCTCGTCCTCCTCTTCTATAATGGAAATGTTTGATTCATTTTTATGATCATTTTCTTAACTAGAGTGAGATTCTTCAAACAGCATCTCCTCAGCTATTTAATTTGATTATATCTTTATTAGCTCCATCATTCGCTAGTTTTTAGCAGAGGGAACCTACTAGATGTCATTGTTAGAAAAAGTCGGTAGATTTTACCCAGCATTTTTTATACCACTACTTTCAAATTTCTGAAATGTTAGCTCATATTATTGACTTTCACTGTTTATAAGGAGATCTCTAGAATTATCAAAATTTTTGTCGATTTTCTATTCACCTATTAATTTTAAATATCTCGCACCAGCTTTTTAATCTCTAGACCCTTCAGCTTAATTTAAAATCTTGTCTATCTATTGTTATTACTAAGAAGGCTATTTAACTTATTTCTTTTCAGGATTCACTAACTATTTTTTTGCCATTATTGGTAACGGATCAGTTAGACTTAATGAAGGGATTTTCGATAAATCTAGCCTTGGCATCATGTCAATAGGCCTTAACATTTATATCTAGCTCAATCTTTTTTAAGGTATTTCAATAGGAGGTAATTTTATTCTTCCTTTGATGCTATTATTGAAATCATTCCTATCAGGACTACTGCCAAGAGGTCTAATAGTGTTAAGCATTTCAGTTTTCTTCTTAGGGCTGGATTCATTGTCTGAATTATCACTACTATCGCTACCATCTGATTCACTACTGACATGATTAGCGTCGTATTTCTTAAGTTTCTTTAATTTTTCAACAGAGCTGATTATCGAGTCCAGATCTACTAACTGTTTCTCACCATTAACCAGACTATATAGTTGAAGGTCAGACTGCTCCTTCCGTAGATTTTTGAAAGTAAATTCAATTAGCATCTTGTCTTACTTATTATCACATTCACTTGATAGATAATATTCTTGTAACTCAGCAATTTGAAGTTTATTGGGTTTTTTATTTACTATTGAGGTTTTTTTAATCAATCCTCTAAATGTACTCTATTCCTTGATTATAATTACAAATGCCTCGCCAAGTATAACTTTTTACTTAAGTTATTTTGCAGCAAATACTTTAAAAATGAGTAGCAATGATACTACTCCGAAAAATATTCCTAAAAAAATTCCTACAATTATTAGTGCAGAAGCCATTATATTTAATAAGTTTATCTTAAAGAACGAATTATTATTCGAAATTCTAACTAGATATTAAATTCTAATATTGAAGTATGGGGTTTTGGGGTTTTGGGGTTTTGGGG